TCCATTTCTCTTTTTAAGTAATATTTCTCTCGTATATAAATATCTCTGGGCTTTATCTTCCGTCTTCCGACATGTTTATTTATCTGTATCCGGTCGCTGCGCCGTCACGTTTGCACGTGGCTGTCTGGCCATTTCCTTCTCTATACACATATTCTCTTTCAACGCGTAAACATCTCTTGTGAAAAATTTGTGACGCCTCGTAGAATCGCTGACAGGTTATGTATTCTTCTTCAAAACATTGTTGCGATCGACGTACTTAAGCGTATCCGATATTTCTGTATCTTTATTTTTATAGAGGTTTCCGTGACGCGGCCGAAAAAAATATCGATACGATACCGGATTTTGTGTTTCGGTACAAGTTCCGGAACGAGACGTCGATAGCGTCGCGCATGGCTTCGTTTTCACGCCAATACTGCTCCTTCTCGATACGGTGCACGCGAATTCGCCAAGATTGCAAACGCAGGACCGATTGTCTCGTTTCGTCGCTAACCCAGTGGATAGAGAGCTGCGCGTTTTTCTCGGTTTTCTTTAAATTGCCCTCGGTAGCGAGTTGTCGAGCGATAAATTTATCCGGGAGGGTCTCCTCTCCTCTCCTCTCCTTCCTTCCTTCCTTCCTTCCTTCCTTTCCCTGTCTCGCTTTCTCGAGGGTGGACCAAACGACAAAAATAACCCCGAAAGTTGCTTCTCTCTGCCAGTCCAAAGAATACATAACTATGGAAGGATCCAACCATCAACGATACGCTTTCGATCCGCCCCTTTCGTTTCAGAAACTCGTGAAAATGACATGCTTCGAAACAACTTTAATCCCTTCACGCCTGCGACTTTGCTTGTAAATTTCGAGAAAACCATCTTTGAGAATTCGACGTTAAAAGTCGAGTCACCGAACAACTTGCCAGTTTATTGGCTCATCCGTCGACGGATAAAAATATCGTTTGTTCTCTAAATCTTCCAATAAGGTAAACTGTCGCAGGCGAGGGAAGAGAATATACGACTTGGAACGCGGTTGGAATGCACCGTTGCAAGGCTATCTGTCCCTGAAATTCCGTGAAAAGAAGGGAGACGACTGGTCCGAAGGTCGAACGAAGTGTATCGCGATGATGAGAACGAGCCCACGTCTAAAAAAATACGCGTTACAAGCTATAGAAAACCGATTACTCGCGAGAATGCTCGCACCAACTATTAATTTTCCGAATAAAAATCAAAGCAACGTGTATAAAACACCCGGCTTCGCGTAGTTACCGCAACCGCCGAGTAATTGCATCTTTCGAGGCGGCGTGCACGGTTGTCGGGGCAAATTCAACGTATCGCGCATACCACAGTTTCCCTTTGTAAATACAATGTTTTCTGGCACGGCTCGACGCGACACGACGCGTACAGGAAGAAGAAGAAGTAGCTGCATTTCGATGCTATTCTTTAATCGTTCGCTTTGAAAGAAAGAAAACAGAAAAGGGCCGCGATCGGTGCAGCGTGTGATTATTTTAAGACGATGCCGCCGAAACCGTGACTCGGCGAAAGCGAGTATTCGTTCGACCGCCCTCCGAGGAGAACCGGAAGACGGAATACCGGTTGTTCCCCGCTCACGACGGGCAAACTTGTTCCGACGAAAGCACTCCAAGATTACGTACCGGTAAACTGATTGCAACCAGTGGATTCTTGATCGATCAACTTACAATGTACAAAAATGAAATATTTCGAGCGGTACAATTTGGGCAAATCTCTCTTCTACAGGAGGAATTCGTAAATAGGAATTTTGCAAAAAATTTCAGAGGGATCCAGGTAGATTGTACCAGGAATACGAGACAATGATCGAGGATCTAGAACCGGGAGCAGAGGGTAACGACGCCGTCGGAGGACAATTGTGCAGTGCTGACGATCAAGTGGAGCATCATCGTTAGCGCGCAGAAACTGCGCCCGAGATGCATTCGTGCACACATCTCCGAGTTTCTCCTATGTTTGCATCATGCTTCTCACACCTCGAGCATACTCATCCTGTTTGCACCGATGGAACAGTCACCGAAGCGACGCGTCCAATAAGTGGACTATTCCTCTGCCAAAATAGAAAATGTCCAGCTTATCTTGAAAAATTCGTCTACGTCGCGACGATAATAAACCGCGTTTAGCCAGCTCGGTGCGAGCAAGTATTCGGACGCGACACCTTCTCCGAGGCCGATCAATTATCCAAGACCTCGTAGAACGCGTTGTTTCTTTAAGAATCCTCGACCCATTTAATATCGGAACCGCGTCCGGCTGACTGCACACTTAACCACGAAAAAATCGTTCCCGCAGCGCCTTCTAGCTTCCGTGGAACGATCCGCTTGTAATTCATCCGACAGATTCAACTAATAGCTGAGCAAACAATTTTTTTTACAATTGCCCAACGGGATCGCGCGGTTTCAGAACGTTTATCAGCGGCTTGGAGAGATTCGTATGAAATCGCGAAACGAGCAACGCGAGAACTAATTTCCGAAATCAATAAACAGGATCGCATGGCCCGAAAACGAATCGCTTTGCAAGCACGAAGGCATCGGGAAAGAATTACGAGGTCGTAACCTACATCCGCCACAGGATACGCGTCAACAGAAGGCGGAAGCTTTTGCGGGATCATCCATTCGAAATGGTCCTAAATCAAATTTAATTTCGTGTCACGTCCGAGGCCACCGGACACGTTTCAAACTCGCTTTGCAACACCCGCGGTCAAACGATCGCTTTCGATAACTCCCTTGGAAAATATTTGTCGTGGCGCGCATTAGACAACTGCTTCTTCGAAACTAAAATGATCGAGTCAACGTACGTTACGAGATGGGCGTGGAATTGCCAGGGAACGGTGAAAATTGTATTACGTTTCCCCTGGGACATATTTCAAATCATTATAAACGATTTAAAAATAATTTTAATTATCGAAGGTTTCGATTTAGCAGTTTCACGAGGCTTGAAAGCTTTATCATTTTCCGTGCTAAGGAGGCAGTATTCACGAAGAAAGACACGGGGAACGTGAAAGGAGACCAAGAGCGACTTTTCGTAAGTAACGGCGTAACCTATCAACGAGCCTCTTCCACCAGTTTCTTTAATATACGCGACCTGCATAGCTGTATTCTCCGAGATAGGGCAAGGGTGGTAAATATTACCTTCAAGAGGGAAGGTGCTGACACTCTACTCTTCCCACCGACCAGCAACCCCTCATTCAACTCGATGCAACCTTCCAATATCAGGACGAAATCACGCATGCTGGAAATCGTTCGCAAACCTCGAGCATCCCATTAAACTTAACAGTTATAATTAACGAATAAATAAAGTCAACTGATCAAAGTCGTATTCGTGTACTTGTTTAAACTGATACTATAATCGTGAATGATCACGAATTTGTTTATTCTCAAACATCGTATAGTTAAAAGGCTCGGAGCCTTATAAAAAATTTGTAAAGGGTCTCCAACTCTATCCTAAACTGTGCTGCTGTGTATCGGCACAGTATAGCCGGGTTGGCGATTTGGTGGAACAACTACTCGGGTCCGAGCTCGAGGGATTCTCCAAATGAATAAAAAATACGTAAATTCCATCGTTAGCGGGGTAGAAAACGTATAGTGTTGGTATAAAAGAAATACCTCGCGACATAGATAAATTAATGCGACATTATGAGAAGGCGTCACGCCAAAGTATCGTTAGTCAGTTTGGATCGCGTGTAGACGCGCGATTGTTGGTTGTCGGTTGAACGCGAACGAATTCTCTGTGAACCGGGAACGGGTAATATACGCGTGTGGCACGTGCCAGCAGAAGCAGCAATTATTACGCAACACGGTAAACGATGAATGAACGAAGAGGACTTTACGGTATGGTGACTTTCACGAGAGTAAACGAGACGGTAATTATCAATGTTCGTAGCACGGCGTTACGTCGTCCATTAACGCGTTAAGCAAACCGACTAAACGCGCGATTCGATAGAAATTAATCGATCGTGTGAAATCGAGCAAAGGTTAATCGAGACTAGGAAAATCTGTTTGCGTTCAAACTAGGAGGAATCCGTATAACAAGGACAAAGAGCACCGTGCTACGCTTTCGATTCCCCTGCACGCAGGTGTCGGTTACGCAATACGAACATTTTAGTAAATGGTTTTCGTATGTAACCTCAAACTAATCCAGTTTACAAGGAGAGAACTTACAATGTACCTTAATCTAATACAGACAGCAAATACGACGGGGAAATTAGAGAGCTGCCGGATTACGATTAAATTGTCCACGGTCGTGAGCGAATCAGACGCGACACTTTACCATCTTTCTTCGATAATTCTCCAAAGGCAAATCCGACTAATTTACTCCGTGGTTTGGTTATGGCTGTTTACCGACGGGCTGTGCCGTGCGTGCACGCGTCCTATCGCTGACACGCCTAATCTAAATCCGGAGGAAAGGACAATGGGTGTCGTTGTGCCCGATTTAAAAACTCTGCGGTATTCCTCTATTGTACCATCGACTATTGACTATTGATATATCGACTCGATAAGAGAACAAACTGCTGCTCGATCTATCATCGAGTAAAACCGTTCCTCTCCCATGGCGTTTAATCGACGCCTCGTCGCTTTACACCCACAACCTTTCATGGGATCTAATCTCAAGCTATCGATCTTAATTACGCACCCAGTCCTACTTAAGCCGCGTTCGTGGCATTTTGTTTCGTGAAAAATGGAGCGGTTTACAACCGCTGTCGGCAACCTTGGTCCTTGGTCGATTTCTCGCCTTTTTTACGCTTTCGGTGTAGGTACGTTGATCTCGATATTCGAGGCGCGTATCTTACCGATATTACGACTACATTAGAAATTCGATGCGTCGAGAACAAAGTTCCCGTAACAAGGTGGGTTCCGTCTTTACATCGATTTATATTCAAATTACACCTACACGATATATCGAATACTTTCTCGTAATAAGCACAGCGTCGCGATGTATCGATGATCTTTTCATACGTTTAAATACAAAATATGAAAGAACGAACGCAAGATAAACTGTACACTCACTTTTCTACATCCAATCCTGAGCTCAGCTTCGGCGGACCTCGGTGCGCATAGATGCCTCGATCAAAGTCAAATTCGCGGAACTACAGCATGCCAACGCTCGCTATGACTTATAGAAGAGCTTTACATTCTCACCGACTGGTTTCAGTCTATTTACAGAAAGGAATTACCAGCAAGCAACTCGACACGACACGGCACGGCACGGCACGGCACGACACGACACGGCACGACACGGCACGGCACGACACAATTACAAGGTACACAACGAGGTACAACGCAAACTATTTACATTGCTCGAATTCGCACTTGTACATCGGCACCAACAACGACTGGCAAACGCGACATAGATTTCCTATGTCCTTGACACGCGATGCGACTTATCATGTTCGACCTTGTCGACGAACAGTGCCAAAAATTTCGGTAAACCTTTCAACGTACAGAATGGTCGGGGCACGTTTCACTGGCATGCACTGTCAATCGCGTTCTATCCCGGATGCTTTCGCAACTCGGAGCAACACACTGTACGTGTCCTGGATGCTTTCGATCAAGATTCGTGCAAACGATGGAGCTGTTTTTACGGAGCAAGCGTTCGCGAAACACTCTCTTCTGGTGGGAATCGGTTGCGGGAATCAAACTATCGACGAGCACGTTGCGATTAAAAAGGACCGAGGATGAGGAATCGAGCGAGAAAGGCCAAAGGATAAGATACGACGCAGCCCGACACGACGCTCTAAACGTCCACGCTCGCTCTGAGCAACCCGGCGACTCGAATGTAGCGCGCATCTGCGCCGCGCAAACGCGCCTCTCATTGGCTCGTTGATCGGTACATATCCACCACCACTTACAGAGCTACAGGGGTTCTCCTCGCACCCTGACAACCACCGCTTCAACTATTTTATCGACTTTCTTTTCCTTAGTTTTTATTTCACGGATAACAAGGGGATCTACGTATAATCGAATTGCTTAGAATCCGACTGGTCGGTCGGTGGTTTTCGAGTTGCTTTCAATTTATTATAGTTACTTCCCCCTCCCCCCTCCCCTTGTTCACAACACCCTGCGCTGCGGTACGGCCGATGCCGTTTACACGATTTACAAACAATACTAAATCTTTCTAACATAGATAACCAACAAACTTACTACTCTAGTTTCTACAAACATACTATATTTTCATGGATTGAAAATTTACAAACATTCCGCGACTACATTTTCAGTTCTCTTCTTATTTACGATCGTATTAAAAAACTCCTTGCGATAAAGTTATTCTATTTTAAGAGACACGTGCTGATAGAAAAACTTTTTCTCAAGGGCACATTTTAATGAGATTCCAAGAGCATCGATATTTTTTAAAATAGAACCATACATTTTTTTAAACATTCTAATCAATGTCTATAAAAATGTATTATGTTGTTCGAGTCGAAACACGATTAGTTGAAAAATTATTCAATCGTCTTACCAATCGTTTCTCGACCCAAGTAATTTAATATTTCTTTTGCAAACGATAAAAGGACACGTACCGTGAAATCATTTTTCAAATTTGTTGTTTCGACTCGTTCGGAACTGCGGATAACTGGTGGAAAATACAGCGGTACCCTTCTCTTTGCTGGGATGGTAATTACGCACTTGTTTTATGACAATTACACACTTCGGCACGGCATTCTTGTCTTGAACAAAGAATCACGAGTAATTAAATACAGAGCAGCAATTGTAGCAACTAATGGCTATACAAAGTGCAGACCGAAATATTGCGTATAGAGAATAGCATATAAACGCAGAACAATAGCTGCGAGGCTGGCTGGTTTTGCCGCGTTTACGTTCATTGAACGTAATACGGCTGGGATTTACAGGGTATTGTCGTAATCTCGTATTCGTGAATAAAAACGGATGGTCTGTTGGATGCGTTGCGATAACCCGGTAACTTTCGCACCTCGTGAAATCAGAGTTGCTTACAACGAAAAGTTATCGATCGTTATCGCGTGTTAGTTAATACAGTTTCTACTACTACTACGGCTCGCGGCAATCTTTACCGCGATCGCAGCTAGTTTCGAAAATTCATTTCGCGGGAATCGATTCCTTCGCAACGCGAACAAGTTTCACGCTTTACGAGTAAAAACGCTTAATACACAGCTGGAACGAGGATACGCGTGCATCTGGAAAATAACGTAATCGCGTCAGTCAACTACTCGACTGGGCGCTGAAGCATCGTTAAACTTTTTCAATTTACGAGTTCTGACATTGTGGCAGTGAAAGAAACGCCTTGCTTCGGCGTTTGCTTCTATGCGAACGCGAGCGTGTTTACTTTCCCCTAGATGCGTACGTGTGCTCGCTCGTTCGCCCCTAGCTGGTAGTCGAAAAACAATTTTTTACATTTTTACTTGTTCCACTATCCCTTTAATAAAAACGAACGATAAACGCGGCTACGTTGAACCAAGTGAACGTTCGATTGTTCGCGTTCGTTGTCCATTGTTTGAACGTTGGGCTTTCGAAAAACGTGGCCCGATTCGTGGTGGATACATCGACCTCGGTTACGTTCTGGGAACGTTTTAGCGAAATTACGCTCGGTCGCAACGCAAGTAGTACGGTTGGGTACAAAGTGCCGTCACTTGTCATCAAGACCCACTGTACAGGGAAGAACGAAGCAAGAGGAAAAATGGTCGAACGGTGCCGTACTGGTCGATGGATAAATGACTTCTCGTGCTTCTTCTTTATTCTAGTTTCCCTTCGTTTTGCGTGCTGGCCTGCTTCTCGCTGCCTTCTTCCCTATTCACCCTATATTCCCTATGGTCCCGTTAACAGTCGCGTAACCATCGACTAACGACTAGGAGAGATATCGTTTGCAAACACAGTCGTTTAATGGTAATGGAAAAATAGGTCTCCGGTCGATCCGCGACGATTTACTTTCCATGTCTATTAACCCCCGAATGGGAAATCCGAGTAGATACGAGCACCGATATCGATCCGTAAGAGTAAAATTCGGCAAACTCCTGTTACTATATCGGAATACGAGACTTTTGATAAAAAATAATTCACGTTCGCCGTCCGAGGGCCGACGGAACGAGTTATTTATCTTTGCTCGACCAAACACACGCGAATGCACGACTCAACAGACTCGCTCGCATCCAAAACCAGACAAAAGTATACCAGGCGTGTCGTATACCGCTCGGTATACCTACATACTTGGTTCGTTAACACCCCAAACGGGAGAAAAGCCGGGTCAGATAGCTAACTCGATAAGATACACGCACCGTCGCACAGAATTTGCAATTGAAAATGTTTGGATCTCTATGGAAATCCTCCTAGACTCATTTATGTTCTTAATGTGTCGCACAGTGAACGTAAAGTAGCAAAGCAGCAAAGTACATAGATACGGGAAGAATATTGCGTGCAAGTAAATTTGCGTACTCGTTGAACAGGATGTAGGTTGCGCGCATTAATCGTTTTAACACAAGGCATTTGGAATTGCGTTATACATGATAACTCTAGATGATGTAAACTATTTCTCCAAAATATTCTTATTTGCACATTGCAGAAGATCGATCTCAAAGTCTACGTAAAAATTCGCTACGCGTCGTAAACAATAAAAACATTTTTCAGTCAAAATCGAACAATGTTTCGAACGTTATTAGACGAAACGGTATTCCATGGATGTACCAGGATTCGACTATCGAGAATCGATTAAATTCTTGGAAATACTGCGCCCTTTTCCAGTATCATGGAAGAGCTTTCCGACCAAGCTTCGACCAACCTGTTATTAAATCATCTCCGAAAGCGCGCATTCACCCCTAGGGTATCTATTTCTAATAACGTTTACTCTGGCTTACTTTGCCAAACCAACCAACCCTATTTCCTTTCGCTGACAGTCTCTAATGTTCAGGACGAATTTTTACCGATAGCGATGTTTCCAGCCATCAATTTCTATCGTTCCGAAATCTTTAGTAATCGGAGTAAAAACAGATTACAACTAATTGTCCGTAAGCAAGTAAAATTCCAAGTACACGTACACGTTTTATTTCCACGGTGTTGAAGTAGCAAAGTAAATTTGGCAGAAACTCGAGTCTCGAAAGTTTAACGAGCTACCTTGCTCGTTAAAAGAAATTCGGAAAAGTTGTTAACCGGACCTCGTTATAAACTCATTGGCGTCCAAATAACTGTGAGTTTTCGAATTGTCAAACGTTATATGTACATACATTTCGCTTGATTTGATTTATTTATTTATGAAAAATATAGATATACAGGGTATTGATATATAGAATGAAAATTACTCCATAATCCAATTTAGAAAATTCAAGACAACCAAGATTAATCACGGAACTCGTCTTGATCAACTTTCCGCTATTAAAGTAACTTGAAACTTAAGACCAATAAGAAAAAGTATTGAATTTTTAATCTTATTGAATTTATAGTCTAGAAATCGATACATCGATAAGTCGAAACTTGTGTAACCCCAGGCATTTTTCATTTTCCGTCAACTTGGACTTATCGAATCTTGACCGTATATTGAACTCAAGATTATCGACGTAATTCGATTTAACCAGAATTTTCCACCGACGGCAGAAACGCGAGAAAGTTGGAAAGTCGCGATATAAATTCGTACTTTTCCAATTACAACGTGCCAACATTTTATCTACGACGATAGTTTTTGACCGAGCTGGCAAGAAGACCGCTTTAGAAAAGTGGATTTTCATCGATCGACAGCATAATACGGTTAGTAGTATACAAAGTTGATACACGTATCGAGGAATGCATTGTTATCCAAGGTATAAAATTCAAGTAACCAACAATCGAAGCGACTGCGGAATAAAACGAGTAAAGAGATATCAAGGTATCGTTGTAAAGAGAGAGATCCAAAATAGAAAAAGTAGTCGAAGCAATTAACGATTTAATTATGGGTATGATTAAACGCGCAGTGGCTTCTTAAAATAAAGAATAATAAAGAAGTTTATGCAACGACGTTGTAAATTTGTATATCGCTGTAATCAAGTATCAAACGAGTAAAGTTTATTCCCCTCGGAAACGTTCTAGTTTAAAGAGAATAAGTAGAAACGAGGAAAGGCGAGGAAGAAACTCGTAGCTAAGGAAGAGGAGCAGAGGTAGGTAGTCTGTTGATTCGAAATTTCAGAGGACCTCTGAAAATTCCAGGATCACGGCCGAACACCATTACTCGAAGGAAAGGAAGTAATTGTGTGGTAATGAGGGTCAGAGTCGTGAGAGACTCTTGGTTGCGAGTCCGTGGCAAGATCGGTGACCTTTAACCTCCGTTCTCTCCCTCGCTCCTCCGGCTGGCTCTCCTTTTGCTTTCACGCTGCCCTAAATGCGGTAGCTCTGCGCACCGATCGTTCCCATCGTATCGAGAAGACCTCGATCCCAACGGCTCCTCTCACGATGACAAATTGCATCGGTCTTGGATCGCTTTATCTACCTCGATATGAATTTGCATGAATCGAATTTCCGTGATCTTTATTCGCCGCTTTGTTGGCGGTACCGTGGACACGAAAAGAAGAGAAGCCGAAACGTCGAGCTATACAATATGTACACAAGTAATGTATATTAACACGATGGCTGCGAGTGTCGCCCTTTCTATCGATACTCGAGTTCAACGTTCAATGACCTCCACTGTTTCGGAACTGTATCGAGTTGGCAAGAAAATAATTTCAGCCTTTGCGTTTCATTACGAATCAACATTTTCTCGACGATGCTCCTTCCTTTTAATCCCATCGATTCTATCTTTATACATCAACTCTGGAGACGAAGAAAAAATGTCTGAATACTTGATACGTAGTCGACCCAGCCTATCCTGAAACATAGATATTATTTTTCACAAGGTTTTGGAGATTATTAACGAGTCGGTGAAATTTCTGAACCGTTTTCAGCGTTCGTTAATCGACAGATTTTATCGATACGCGTATCCACACAGTGCTCGATGGTAAAGGGGGATCGCGACCGGTAAAACTCTTACTATTAATGTTTCATAGTACACTGCAATCGTCGTTGGTCCCGAGGGTAGGGTGGTCGGTTGATTGGCACAAAGTACGTCGCTGCGTGCACTAAATCACACCGAGCGTACTTGCTGCAAAGGTTCTTTTTAATGCCATTACCATCCCAAATGTCTCCCACCACGAGCCACTGGCGGATGTGATCTACGGTTGGGGTGTATCTAATTGACATCGAGAAACACAAACCTACACCTCATGTATCCTGTACATATGTACAGTGTGTGTACGGTCTTTTCGTGATTTAACCATCGATTCGCGAGGGTTTCATCGGAAACACATACGTATCTGCTAAATGTAACTGAAATACTTATCCGATGCAACACACATTTCGCCTGGTCTTTCTCGTTGTTCCCGTTTCCAGGATTTCCTGCGACGTTAATAGAATTTCACGATGGAAATGCATTCCGAGTCCGAGTTCGTTTCTCCGCGCGCAATAATAGACGGCGTAAAATCGATCGCGATTACACGAATTATTAAAAGTGACGGTACGCGAGTAAATACGAATTCATTGCTCGTAATAATCGAATCAAGCAACTAGACCTATGAACAACGCATGGCAGTTATCAGAAATATTTGTAATACGCCCGGACAACGAGAAGGATATCATCGACTATCGTCGCGTCTTTGTTCCTCCTTGATCGCTCTCGACGAAGAATAACGAAGGTGTAGATCGTAAAGAATTTAGAGGAAGGTTAAAACTTGAGAGAGAAAGGGAGAGAAGTACGGGCTGGAAAAGGACGCTGACTGTGCAGCTGACTGAAAATGAGATTGCCGTAGTAGTCGATTTAAAAGGCTGCCGGTGGCTATTTCTTGCGCGTTTGGGAGCTAACCAGCAAAGAACGACCGGTATACCCGAACAACTAGTCGGCAGATGGCACGCGCTGGGGCCTTGGCCAGACCCTTCCGGTCCCTCGAGAGAGCTCTCTCTCTTTCTCGAGGGCCCAACCTTCTTTCTTCGGGGGGTCGTACGCGATTATGGTCGGTTAAGCCCCACGCTCGCACAGACAACGACTTTATTGGAATCGCGTTCTGAACGACGTTGACTCTGGGAACGATTGTAAGGGCCTGTAGTCTGAAATCATACTTTCGTAATAAGAGCAGATTTCCATTTACCGAAAGGACGAACGGAGGAATCTTAATCAGTCCTTGTATGGAATTAGAAAAGGTTTTGCGCGAAACGGGAGCCATATAAATATTTCCTAGAAACGGGTAGTTGTTTGGGAAAAAATCAGTGAAGAAAATAGCAATTATCTATTACGGGCCAGGAAACAGCAGTTCGCAACAGGAGCAACGATCGAGAAACGAAGGTTATGCTTCGGTCTGCAACGCGGTTGGCTGAGCCTGCTGATGCGCTCGCCCGTATAATTGGATGCACAACGTCGGTAATTTGTTTGAAACACGTACCGCCAAGAAGAAACTTGGGGCATAGAGACCTACGTCGTTTCGCTGCTGGTCAGCCATTTTCCATTTCTTATTCTCTCGTCGCTGTGAATCACCGTCGCGTCGCGTCGCTCGAGAGAAAATATTCTTTCTACAAAGGAACGCGTCGTGTGCTCGGCTCGCCCGCAACCTCTACACTCTTCTTCCTGTCTTCCTTTACCCCCCGAGATTAAAACCAACGATATCGCGTATAAAATAACGCGATAATAAGCCAACGAAGAACGTAAAGGTAATCGCTTATGCGTACACAATGAAATATTCGTTGAAAATTTTCACGTCGCGTCGCGATGGTTCGCTGGATATGTTAAAATATAATCTGAAACTTGTCAGTCGACAAAGCTTGAGATTTCTGGCAAAGAATCGCAAACGAGATCGGATCCACTCTCCTCGGTTCTGTCGCTTACCAAGAGCAGGTGCGCCATGCATCACGGAAAACCAGTCTTTTTCTTATTGATCTTGCTTCTGCCCTTTGGACCGCCACCAATCCCACCTGCCGATCACGTGGCTTCCTCGAGCCACTCGACCGAGCACACAATTTACTTCTCGATATAATACGCTCTTACAATACATCTTATATAATTTTCGGCGAGTCGTCGCGTCAGAATGCGGTTAGATCTTTGTAATTCGTATCTAGCTACTTTTAAACGCAAATCGTGTACTACGCGGTTCGCGATGTTTTCATTTCCTTCCTACGTTCCTCCTTCGAGTTTAACGGTGAACCGGTACAACGATGGAAATTCCTACGATATTTACGATCGATCGAATAAACCAACATTTTCATCCGGCTGCGAAAACATGCAAAGTAATTGGCAATTCCTGATACTCCATCGGCAAAAAGTAAACAAGCGGACGACTTGTTTTCAAATTCAGAGAAACGAGGGACAAACGGCCACTAAACTTTATAGATTCATCGAAGGATACGGATGCGCGAAACGCAGCTGTCCATTAACAAACCTCGAATAAAAGCGAAAAGAAGAAGAAGAAGAGTCATCGTTAGATGTTACCCGTACTGTTACCAACTAAATTAACATTATCTTTAGGGTATTAGCTACGTGAAGTTGGTTCGAAACGTTGGTTAATTAAATGTCGCGTAATGTATCGAACGAGCGACATATTGTAACGAGTATCAGCTGCGAAAAGGAAAGCCAGTACTTGTTACTTTTTCCGTGCGATCGTAACTCGTAATCCGTGGGCGTTCCTTGGTCAATTTGTAATCCAATATGATCAATCGAGCGAATGCACCGAAGCCGTATGCATACGGGTCGATCGTCGATACCGAAGTCGAAGCTTCTTGCAAGGTGTCCGATTGAGGACCACCTGTCGGTGTTGTTTGCCGGCTGATGACAATTTGCCCAACATCGGAGAAAGCACGCCCGTACGCACGCACTCTGGCTGGCCGAGAGTCTGCGCGCGACGTTAATAGCGATTCGAGGACGTGCCTCGAGGTGAAATTAAATGCCAGATATGCGAATCGCTTATCTGCGCGCCACCGAGACCAGATACGCCTTCGCGACCAAACTTTATCCTATCTATCCGGCCGGGGCTCCTTTCAACCCCGAACGGGCTCTGATATTTCCAGACAACGTCAAAAACCATGCCACAGAATCGGAAAATATCTATACTAAACGCGTATCGATTACGATGCAACGTTTACGCAATTTATTTCATACATAACGCTGTACTGCGTCTTTTGATACAAGGAAGCTGGAAAAGGATTCGAATTCTCGGGATTAAACACGAATAGAAATCGTGGAACATACGGAGACGATTCAGTTCGCGACGAACGAAGGTAGCAACCGAGTCGTACGATAGAATGTCGTAACTAAAGCGTGGATGCGCGTGTTTCGTGATTTTCCAGGACGACCAACTTGTTTGCAAGGGAAGTAATAACCCTGCCGTGCCTGTGTGCTTGCGCAAACCAGGCCAACCAAAATAGAAAGAAAGCGGAAAACGGGAAGCGGAAAGCTCCAAGGAAAACAAACCAACGGTCGTTGCTCGTGCGACAAGTACTGTCCTGCTTCTATTCTGTACATCCATCAGGAAGTGAAAAAAAGGTGGGGAGGTAAAAGGGACTCCGATGATTACTGCTGACCCACATCCTGTTCCTTGAACAAAGCTTTCGCTTTTTCTCGCTTATCTCGCGGTGGAAAGTTTGCGAAAAAAACCGTTCTTCGTGGTTTTCCACTCGTTGGCACGAAAACGTGTCGTCTACGGCGTATTCGCGTGAAGGGAACGAGAACGCGTCGTGTTTCAATCTGCGAACAATGACGATTCTGTGGATCGTCGCGTTCCGAGCTTTAAAACGGCTATTAATTAATGGGAACTCAGTTTTCCGTAACTATTCCGCGTTGTATATTCGTCGAGGTGAAAAATCCTATTCTCGGAAATACAATTCGAGCAAACGATAAATTGCCGTATCTCTGATGCAGGCAATTTCCGTCACACGAACACGATAAAAATAAGATAGCAAAGAACTGTGAAAAATTTTATCAGGTCACGGGACAGATCGCGACTAACGACTATTTAATTTCCACCTGTTCTACTTTCCATTTATATCGATCGAGATTCTCTGTTGTGTAAATCCGATTTACGCAAAATGCTTTCGAAGCTACACAGCGTTTGCAACGAGAATCGCACTCGACACTTTTATTTCGAAAAAATCACCCATCAACGTATTAACATAGTAGAAATTACACTGATTACAAATACAATGATATTTACAGTAAAAAATTCAAAATTCAATTCGCATCGTTACGAATTATGGAACGGTTTCTCCATAAACTCGAAACGACCATTGCACGAAATACGTATGTATTCCGGAAATCCGCGGTGCTTCAACATTTAGGAATTTGTACTTGTAGATAAATTTTTTTAACGAACGTGCTCTATGGAAATTTCGTCAGAAATCGTCCTCATCGTCCGTATATTCGCATTCCTCTATAATTCTTGTGATCTCGGCGTCGTGTTCACGCGACTCGTCATCCGACAAATGCGATTCACCTTCCATAAACTTGGCAAACCTAAAAATACGCGTATTTCAATTACGATACACGTAATGAACATAATCAGTTATAATTCTCGCCCGAAACCGCTAAAATATTTCTGTACAATAACCTGATGGGATCCTTTAATCTTAGAACTGTCTTCCACGGATTACATTCAGGACTAGAACAGTATCCTTTTAGCTCGTCTAACGCTTTATTAGTTTCCCTTATACCTTCTTTACGATATTGATCCTCGGTTAATAACTTTCTCCTTTCAGGAAACATATTCTTCCTGATTTCAAACAGGTATACATATAACATACACGCTCATTTTTCCAAATGTTTATTACTACGACCACTATTATTATTATTATTATTATTATTATTATTACTACTACTACTACTACTACCACCACTTTTATTTACACATTAAAAGCATAAATATTATAAGAATAAAACGCATACATTGTGCGCGTGAAAAACACATAAAAATTGGACAAAAAACGAATTTACGTTATGCTTACTTTATATAATATTTATATTATATCTGTAATAAAATAAAAACGTGCTCCTAGGATTAATTCAATCGTACAAAATATTTTTATTGAAACAGGTACAAAATATAATTACAGCTTGCAACACTAGACATTCAAAAGTAAAATATTTAAAAGAACTTTGTGCGATAAAAACGGAATCGTTTGAAAAGAATCGAATATCTATCAAGCCATACGAATATTATAATAATTAAAAGACAGTAACGTTAAGGTCACATTCTTCATTTTTTCGTACAAAACTAAACTGTGCTCGTTATTAACGCTCTTATAACAGCTTTCAAGAAACTCAACGACGTTGGTATTAACTTACCAGTAACTCCTTCCTTTTTGAATTAAAACAATCGGAAAATTATAAAGGAGAATCATTACGATACAACAGAAAAATGATGCTTCGCGGAAATAACTGCTATAATATATTGCAATTAATCCCCCTATCTAAATAAAGAAAATTAGTCGTACGTTAAATTACATTTCAGAAATATTGTATTGTCAGCATTGTCTAATATAAAAACGGAACAGACCTGCAAAAACCATTCGATAAGTTTTTTTGTTCTTGCGTTTGTAACTGGACCAAAACGATAGCAAACAACAAAACTGATAAAAGATGTTCCTAAGATATACCATGTGACAATTTCCCTATACTGTACTGCGATCAGGTGCGCGTTTTCCCATAACGCTTGTAAAATGTAAAAGCTCATTGTCCAACCAGTAGCAACCATCAAATACATAATTTTACCCTTCAATTATATGCATATATTAAACATAGGAAAATAAATATTTTAGACCAAATATTCACAAAATGTTTAAGATTGTTTACCCTTGGTAATAGTTTGCTAGTAAAATATACTAATATTATAATCGAGGTAGTTATTCCAAGCATGATCCCGCATAAATAATAAAATAAGGGATTTCTACTTAATCTGCGAGCGTTCCAATATATCATAGCACCTAGCACCGTTAACATTAATTTCAAGATGTCGACACCTATTAATATAAAAATCCAATGCATTTAACAGACTTGTAGTACACGTGTAATAATTCAGGTTCTCGTTACACTCACGTGTCTGTGTCATGCTCATTGTATATTTGTGTGTGTTGGAAGGATATATGTACACGCCTATGCATATATCCTCGAACGGATTTATTTTTAATTTATTACTCTTTTTTGTACCAAACAAATTAAAGCGCCAAGATCGCTGATTATCATCGTGCATTTGTACAACTTCTTGTGGAGTTTTTCCATCGTAAAGATCATAATTATCTATATTGGTGTTTAAATGCATCTATAATTTGATAAAATACTATCACCATGATGCTATGCTAATTTGTCTATGAGGATTTAAACTAATCTTAAACCATTATTCCTTACGGTTAAACTTCTCCATATGTGTATCAAATATTTTGTATTGGCATTGTGACAAAATATTTGTAATCCAGCTTTGTCGTTTTCAAAAACATCTTCTGGTTTTAAAAAATGTACTAGAAAGCACCAATAAAGAAAATTGAATTGCACTTTATAGCATCGATCTTAATATTATATTTTATAACAAGTACTGGTGTATTGTGAAATAAATGAATTTGATAAAACTACAAAGTATTAATTGTAAAATAATCTTTTCTAAGATACATTGATTTTAATTGCCTTGAAAACATCATAGAAACGTAGAACTGTTATGATACGAAACAAGCGGCGACTTTTCTTTGTTAATTCTATACTTTTTAACAATATCGATACCGGCACATTTACAAATGCAAAATGTATAGGTTAAGTTTACTTACTCGAATCCGTGGCGAATGCAGATTCTGAATAAAAAAAATTGCAGACGAGTAAACATATAATTACACTAAACAATTGAACTACTTTATGCTCCATTTTATTTATTATACAAGTACCGATCACTCTAATCTATCGTTTAATTTTGAAATTTATGAACACAACTACGACATTGTGAATTTAGCGTTCCATCGTTTGAAATTTTAGTTTCGAGATACAGCTGCTTCGAGACCGTCAATATTCATTGAATTTCGTATTATCAAACTTCACAGAACAAACTGAAAATTAGCGGGAGTCTACCAGTGATTCGAAACGAAGTTTTTAATCTTGGGAATATTAAAATATACAAATAGGTAACATCAAAGAAGATTGGTGGTTATTGAGTTTCGTGACAAATTGTTATGAGTCAGTTCATCACGATACAAGGTACATACGTTATCTTACACATATAGCAATCTTCCCGCGTAAATATTTTTGAATTTGTTGTCTTAGAAATTAATTTCAAAATTAATTTACCGTCATACGTGCATATATGATCATAGTTAAAGAAGTTTTAAATGTTTCTATAAATTATAGTTGGACAATGCGGAAATCAGATCGGTTCAGCATTTTGGCCTTTGACATTGCACGAGTATGGCGTACAAACGACTCATACTGCCGTGAATTTATTGAAAACACAACGTCATCATATTAAAAATATAAGCGATCTATCAGATGCGTTTCATAGTTTCTTTTCAGTACCTGATAATTCGCATAATTTATGCTTCAAAACTATAGCAGATTTAAAAAAAGCTAAAGTCAAGGCCAGGGTATAATATTTACTTAACGATAATTTTATTGCACGAAAACCACTTGCGGCGTATAGATTAATAGATTAGCACACACGTTTTGTCATATAGGCGGTTTTGATAGATATGGAAGATAATGTTATAACAGGAATAAAGAAAGGTCCCTTACATGATTTATTCGATGAAACTTGCATGGTCACAAATTATCCAGGATCTGGAAATAATTGGTAATCAATTCTCCCTTCATACCCCAACTTTTAGCTGAAACAAATTTTATATAAATGTTATACATAGGGCTGTGGGTTATTATACTCATGGAACAGAATATCGTGATAAATTAGAGGATAGCATAAGGCGTACAGTTGAAAAATGTTGTCGGTTACATGGTTTCTTAATTATGCATTCCCTTGGAGGTGGTACTGGTTCTGGGTTAGGGACAGCTACCTTAAAATTATTGGCTGATAACTATCCTAATGTAGACAGGTACTTTTACACCATAAAAATACATGTACCTTCTTCAAGGACACATTAATTATAATCACAGGGATTTCTTTTTACAATTAGAAATACAATGCCAGTAATCAATTTTTCAGACTGGTATCTTGCATATATCCAACAGTTATGCAAGATGTTGTTACAGCTCCATATAATTCATTGTTAGCAACACGAGAGCTTATAGAATACGCAACATGTGTATTTCCCGTTGAAAATACATCGCTTTTAGACATATGTACCTCGCAATTGAGTAAAAAAGAGAACATGGATCAGATAAATTACAATGTTTCGTGTAGACCATTTCAAGATATGAATAGTATTGTTGTAAATATGCTTCTTCATTTAACTAGGTAATTAATGATTTAAAAACTGTTAATTCGTAACTTTATATACAAAAAAATTATTCCGTTAGCGGATCTAGATTTCCGGGTGTCTTAAATATGGATATAAACGAAATAGCAACAAATCTTGTACCATATCCAAAATTACAGTATATATTTAGTAGTGTCAGTCCGACAGCTCTAACCGCACCAAAAATATATACTATACAAGGAACAAAGTACGTAGTGGCGTTATACCTAATTACCAGAGGTGTGCAAGTAGTGCGAAATTTGAGTTCGTGCCATTAAGAAATCGGCAGATTGTGGTCAAGTCCGATACATTTCGAATTACGTCGAATGGTCCCAAAACAGTTCGGCTGTTCGAGATGTATCGAAATTCGCTCGAATTGGTTCCTTTTATCATTGTCAAGACTCGAGTTTCGGGCTACCTACATACTTCTACGCATTACACTTGATAGAGAAATCTTTATTTATAATTTTAAGGATGCAAGATGAACTGTTTACTAATGCATGGTCACGAAGCAATCGGTTGATTAAAATAGATCCGCTCCAGGCAGATTCAATAACTTTCAGCGCTGCACACATCGCAAGGGGAAATTGTTCTATGACCGATTTACAACGAAATATTGAAAGGTATATCGCTTACTTTTCCAGAAGCCAAACAGTAACATTTATATTCTTAGGTTTCAAAGTAAAGTTAAGTTTACGGAGTGGAGTAAAGAGGCTATGAAAGTAGGCTTGTGTTCCATACCCCCAGCTGGACATTCGGCCTCTGTGTTATGTCTTTTAAACTCATCTGCGATGTCATCGTTATTTAAGAATATCATAAAGCAGTTTACTACATTATATAAGAGAAAGGTAATGTTAAGATGTATATATATATGTATAATATGCATACTTCGTAAAAAGAAAATTGTAAGGTTATATTACAGGCACACGTGCATCACTATACGCAAGTTCAAGGCTTCGAAGAAGCATATTTTGCTGATAGTAAAGAGACACTTACAAACTTAGTTACACAATATGCCGAACTGCAAACAGTGAAACAAATAGATATTTCTCGGCTACAGATTATTTAATTACATTTCAGCAATGTGTTAATGAACTTTTAATAATAAAAGTTTATTCCGTTAATTCGATTCATATATATTTACAACGAAAAACATAATCGAATAAAAATAATTTATCCAATGACAATAACGCAATCATGTTAGTTATTAAAGACTTAAAATTTATGCACGTTTTTGCCAACAGTTCGAATAGTTTGGAAGCTGCTTGTGTTTACATTTTGTAAAAAGCAATTCAAAGTCTTTCAAGGACCTAAAGTCTTTGGGCATATTTGTAAATATTGTTAATTTGTTTTCATCGAATAATCTATTTAATATTGTTTTAACTGGCTGGTATTTGCGGTAAGCCAAATTCATCGACCAATACACCATCCTGAAAGAAATTTCCAAGATGAAGTAAATGTGTCTGTCAATGAAATTATAAGAATCGTTAGGAACAAAATCTATTTTTAAATACAAACCTTATTCCTCACAGAAGCAGTGCCAGGTTCCTTATCAGGAGCGCTAGGTGCTTTTATGGCATCATCCAAATAGCTCGAATCCTCGTCTATACCCAAATCATCTCCCAAGGCTTCTAATTCAGCAGTTAATTCATCTTCATCTATATCTGGCATACCATAACTACGACCCATTGCTTCTTGTACTTCGTCCGCTTGTAGTAGCATGTCCGCCAAATCGTCTTGAAGATCCTGCACAACGTATTATTAAACATACAAAGCAAATAACTAGTTTTTAAAAAGAATAATTTCAGTCTATATACCTCGATTTGATCTATATTGAGATTTTTAAATTCTTTCTGCATCTGTTTCACTCCTTCTTTCATGGTGATTACCGTTGTCTGAGTATCTTTTAGCGTTTGAGTGGCATAGTTTGCTTGTTCCATGTTAAATGCCTGTTGCCGCAAGTTATCTACTTGTGATTCGTACATTTTTCGTTGTTTTAAAATACGCAATGCTTTAGCCTTTATGGCGTTTTTTGCAGGACCTTCTCTCATTTTAACCATTTGATCTTTATATTTCTTTAATTCTGCGTCAAGTTTTGCTATCTTTTTTTCCGCAGAATCTGCTCTGCTGTCAACCTTGAAGAAATATATTAAATAATCATGCACGGTTTAAATTATAAAAGTTGTAATATAACCTTGATGACAATACGACAAAACGTAATTCATACCCCAGCGATGCAATCGGTAAGACTTGCAGACGGTTCTTTGGGCTTAGCCCGTCCAAAAATCCTGTTCATTTTGTCAAATTAAGAAATAACGCAAGATACAACAATGTTAATTGTTACAATACTTGCTATTGCTTGAAACGTCAAAGTCACTGATTCATCGCTTTAAAGTAACGACACTCTCCTTGACTTACTACATTGGCAATGGGGTATGGATACACGATGGGTCATGTTATCTACTTAGAGTTGTCGATCAATTGTTATATTTGTTCATGCAGAAGAATGAAAATAATTGTTAACATCGAATTTAAAGCGATATTTAGTAATAATCTATTTCGCATGCTATCAGAAACCGTTTCAACTCGTACATATGGTCACTAGATGGCTGTATCATTCATGATGTACCATTCGAAAGAAAAATAGGAAAATAATATTGCGCAATATCGTTGTAAATTGTGGGAAAAGTTTTCAAGCGTGAAAAATAATTATAAATAATTTCTTTTTAGATACAATAATGTAATATTTTGTGTAATTAATTTAATTCGCAGCAATAAGTAGGTAATTGAAATTGCGATTTATCCAATAGTTGTTGTATTGACTAGGTACTCAGTATGAATCCAGTAGTCATTGAGTAGGAGTAGGAGTAAGGAGCCACCATCTTGGTGCATACAAATGTTAGGTATTCTCATACGAAAGTGATAGATTGTTCTCATTATAGAATAATATAAAGTCGTCGGTGAAGAAAATGCTTTAATCGGATCTTGTGCAAACTAGGTAATTTCATTAATCGCTAACAGGAAAAGCGTTGCATCGCGGATAAATTTTGGCGGTATTCCGTTTTGGGTTTCGTTAGAGGGTGGGTGTTAAGTTGTAATATTACGACAATATTTTAAGCTGTATTGCATCGATCGAGTTTAAAACGTGTAGTAATTTAAATAGTTAATCAAAATGGAGTTACGAAAGTAACAACCTCGATAGGTTTTTTTCGAATCTATAATAAACCTGGTGTTTGCATTCCCGCCAAAAGTGTTCTGTACGGAGAAGGTATCGATGAAACGATATTATTGCATTTCTTTTACAATCGCCATCCATCAATATGTTTCTAAAGTCAAGGTATTTACGTTGTTCTAGTAAGTCGTGTATCTGCGATTTCTACCTAAGGCATCCCTTGGATTCGTAATGCAAGCTTCGCGAGACATCGGCCCTTCCCTCATCCCGCCATCTAATTCGCGAGCATGTAAACCAGCAGGACCAATGCTGATTTCGCTGATGACTTCAAGTGGTCAACACATCGTCATACGAGCATTTACATTCTACGATTGAGTGAGTCCCATGCATTTATGTTCCTCTGGTCTTCAACCATGTTGTAGGATGAAAGATCCGAATCAACACGGTTGACGACCAGTTATATACTTGATATTTTTGACGAGTCGAGTGACCACGGGTATTTTCAATACCCGTGAGTAGTAACACAAATTTTCATATCTTTTTAGTGCAGGCTAGGGTCTTCTTACACTCACGTTTTTTAATGTTATAAATAAATATTACATAATATGATTATTATAAAATTTTGATGTAATTGTACAGTAATTTTAATAACATTAATCTAATTCTTAAATATTGATCGTATTTAATGTATTTTATGTGGAAGAAGACATTTCGCGACTGATCGATTTTCGAGTCAAAGTAACATGTATTGTATACTAGTTTCATCTTTTTAGAAATTTACTTTGACGACAGAATCGATTATGGATCGTTGAATTTTTTAAATAATGTTATTTATTAAATTTCTTTCAATAATATATTTAAATTTGAAAGTAAATTCAATTATATCAAATTTCAATTATAATAGTTTTCTTAAATAATGATATTTTTCAATATCAATGTATTTTATTGTTGATATACTTGATACAACAAGTCGAGTCTTTTTGACTAAAAATTAAATAAAAATTACCGTTTAGCTATATTTAATCAACAACTTTTTTTAGTCAGGATTTTCAGACTAATAAGTTCATGTACACGCCCAGGTGCTGTTTCTATGTTTAAAAATTCATGACTTGTGAACTTCTGTTGGTAATGTTGCGAGTGACACGAAAATGGTAATGGAAGCGTAGAACCCAAGAAAAATGGGTTGAAAAAATCCATTGAATGTAAGGTGTGTTCAAATATGTACCTCGGTTATGTTGAAATTATCGAATAACTCTCGGTATACCTAGTTTTAGTTTTAATCGCTGATAGCGTTACAATCTTGTTCCATTCGAAATCGATAACGTTGGACGCGACATGGTAAGAGGGCAGAATGTAGCTGGGAGCTCACTGCCGTGAAAGAATGATCGAATGTTGTATTTGTTTTATACGTCGTTCGTAATTGGATGGGAGACGATACTCGTGGTGGTTGGGATCATAGTTTGTATCGCACATTAGGTTTATCTGATAGGTAATTTGCCGCAATCTAAATGGAAATAAACGGTGGAAGGTGTTCGTCGGTAGGTAACGGAACGGAAATTACTAACGAAAGAGGAAGGTATGGCATGTCGAGGCTAGGCGAGGCGAGGCGAGGCGAGGCGAAGCGAAGCGCGTGGTTGAAAATTGTGGCGAGATTCGGAGGAATGGTATCAGGGCGGCTAAGAGGGGCGGGTCGACGGGTCGGCTGGTCGGCGGGTCGGCGACGGAGGTGGTGGTGGTTTCTCGGTGGTATCGGTGGCGGTGGCGGTGGCGGCGGCGGTGGCGGCGGCGGCGGCGGTTCGAAGTGAAACGCGCGTGCGTGAGCGACGTCGCCGCGCGACGCAGCAGCGACGAGGACGAGGACGTGGACGAGGACGAAGCGGCGGGCCGAAGATCGCCGAGTGCACGGCTACGCGGAGAGACTACGGCTGGTATGGTGTGGGCCGCAGCACGGGCACAGTGTTCAAAAAGTCGGCACGACGCACGAATCGCGTTACGCGCCGCGACGCAGAGCCACGAAGCCGCGTCGTCGAATCGCGGTCTGCTGGCCTCTGATCGAGAGCCGCCCCGTCGAGTGGAGCCAGGTAACGCGGACAGTCAGCCGGTTGCTCGACCAGCAACCACCATCCGAATTCACGGGTACGACCGGACGACGGGTCTGGGTTAGGGCTCGCGAATCACCAGCTACGCTCGACCGTTCGGAGCTTGAGCTGTAGCGAGAGCAAGTGCCGTGTAATCAGCGGTAGCATCAACGTAACTAGTGCGTTAAATATGCGAGGTGCCGATAAGACGGTGCGGTAGGTCGGACGAGTAAAATTTCGGGCAAGCGAGGGATCGCGTAGAAATTTGGCTCGGGCGTTCTATCGTTGGTAGGTCGGTCAGCTTAACTGGCGCGTTGGTCGCGCACAGCAGTGTCCGTACGGTGGTCCGTGTGTGCGCGTCGACGCGCTTCGTCGGGTTCGCGGTGATCGAGCGAGAAAAGCAACCCACCGATCGCCGCCACCGGGTCGGGAAACGGTCGCGATCGACGTACACGCGCGCTACTTCTCGCGGTAAGATCCGATGGTGCCCGAAACGTTCGCGGCCCTTTCGTCGCCAGTCTGTGTCCAGTGATGTACTCGTAGTGTCGCGACGAGGAAGAACGATCTCGAGCGTGGTTCGAACCGACTAAGTTCGCCAAGTGCGCGAACCCCGACGAGAGAAGCGGCCGAGCCACTTTCCGTTGTATCCGGTTGTCCGGTTGTCCGCGCGGCCGCTGAAAAGCGAAAGCTCGCGTTTCGCGGATTTAGCCGAGCAACGAGCATCGATCGAGAAGAAAAGTATGCACGCCAGGGACGAATGAGAATCATCGAGAGAGGGGTATCGTGCGATCGTGAAACTTTCCGGGCCGCGATGAACGTCGACGAGCGGTTGGTCGACGATTCTCGATAACCAAAAGAGAATGCTACGGAAGCAAAGTCGCTGCCGAGTTACGCTGCCGGGGGTGACGAATCGTTAGCGTAATTTAATCGACTTGGAGGTTGGCGAGGAGGTCGCGAAAAGAGTCGAGAAGAGGATAAAAGCAAAGACCGGTCGGGACGAGAGGATCGAAATATCGGCGTAGTCTGCACAGCTTCCGGGATTCGTGGGTGTTTTTACGCGTACAGCGTGGATCGATAGGTGTCTCGCGAGCTCCGGTCGCGGCTGGTTGACGACGTTCGTGTCGGCAGGAAGGACCGCGTTACGTCGAACGGAAAACACCGAACAGGATCGAAACAGCAGCAGCAGCAGCTCCTCGATCCTCGTCGATACGATTTATGGGGGACTTTAGCGGTACGAGTCTTTTCTCGAACGCCTTGTCCTCCACGACGAAATCGTCGATCGGTACCACCGGCAGCGCCAACAACGCCGTAACCGTGACTACGTCGACGATGCAGGACGACCTCTTGATCGAGAAACAAGCCGCTGGCAAGCCCGCGCCGCTCTCGCCGAGCAGCGGCCTGGAAACGGTGGCTGGACAAGAGAAGACCAAGGACGCGGTCGAGGTCGAGAGTATCGCTATCACGTCGACGACGCCCTCCTCCGTCGTCAAGGATATTGCGTGCAACACCGGCTCGAGTCTTCAGGCGTTCTCCGATCCCGGCAGAGTACCGAACTTGTGGTCCGCCCCGGACGACACGGGCCTCCACGCGTTGCCCGTCAACGGATCCATCGCCGCCTTTCAGAACTTTCCGACCGGCGGTCCGGCGGGTTTGTTCGCCGGGAACGGGTCCGCCGTGTCCACGGGTTCGCGACGCGCGATCACGGCTAGTCACAATTTCCCGCAACAGCATGGGAACGCTGGTGCGCCCATCAATAGACACGGTCTTCAGGTCTCTTCGGCTCAACAGCAGCAGCAACAACAACAACAACAGCAGCAGCAGCAGCAGCAGCAACAGCAACAACAACAACAGCAGCAGCAGCAGCAACAGCAACAACAACAACAGCAGCAGCAGCAACATCAACAACAACAACAACAGCAGCCTCCGGCCACCTCACATCCAGGCGTTTACTTTCCTGGGAAAGGATACGTGGCCTGGTCGGGTGGGCCTCAAGCGCCTCAACAATGGGGCGCCGGGCCCCAAGCAACCGCGGTCGCGAATCCAGGACTCTCGTCGTGGAATCGCGGCAGATCCGTGTCGAATCTTCCTCCCCTGCACTCGTCTTTACACGCGGCAACCGCGGCTGCGGTAGCCGCTGGACTCCAAGGGAGGAAACCGAGTCCGACGTTTCCCGGTCACCCGGGGCCACCAGCTCATCCGTCTTGCATCAGCCCGGTAAAGTTTCGAAGGAGTACCTCGTACCCCGGAAAGGGGAACATATACGCGCCCCAACCCGCGCCCACGTTCGAAGTTACGGCCGCCGAAGAGAAGGACTTGCTGCAGTTGCCACCGTTTCAGCAGGTAGGTCGACCGGCCGACCGGTCGACTTCTAAACTACGCCTACAATTTCCATTTCCCGTTGTTTCCGTTCCGTTGGCTCGGTTCGGTGAAACACCGCGAAAACCGAGGGAAATGTATGTTCCTTTGGTCGTTGGCTCGAACGCGTTAACGTAAGCGTTTCTCCGAGTTTTTACACCGACGTGTTCCGTTATCGATCGTTGACCAGCTACCACGGTAAAGGCTACGTTATAAAGCCGCACCGGTAATCGTGCACTCTCGTCGAAAAAGTATACACCGGTAGCTCCAACTTCCGTAGTTTGGTTGGTGCACGCACTCGATGCCAGGTTATGCAACTGCTTCGAGACTTGCATTTAAATTTAGACGGTACAACGGCTGTTTCAACAGTCGCTCGGTATACGTTGTGACACGGTCGTTTTTAAACGGAACACCGTTCGTCGAATATTCGAGAGGGCTCCGAAACTCGAGCGTCCGTTTCTTCTGTCTCGGTTCGAGTTGCTCCCGTTTACGCGCGTACTTTTCCTTTTCGTCCGATCCAACATTCTGCTTACGCACACGCGTCTAACGATCAACTTGGAATCGCATTTTTTCCGTTCGTTCCGATTAGGGCGTGACGCTATCGCGCCTCTAGTTCCGCGTAGTAGTTGCTTTTGCGACGCGCGATCCGACAAATAAATTATCGTTGACGTTTCGCGAATGTTTGCGGATGATTTTTAAACGAACGCGCGCGCGATACGCGGGAAATCGGCATCGATCGACAATCGTGGTGCGCGGGCGCGCGCTCGCTCGCGCTCTCGCGTAACGTGTCCCGATTCCGTTAGAAAAGAGAAAACCTTTTCCGATACTTATTTTCCCACCGACGTTTGACCCAATTCCTTTCCTACGCAGCAGCTCCAACAGTGTCTAGCAGACGTTTAAGCCCAGCTATTTTAACCACTTGTCGAAAATAGACCTGCATACTGTCCGAGAGAAACGGCGGTGGATCTCGTTGCGCGAGCTCCTGCCCTTTGCGCATCCGTTCCTAACCGTTTACGCGCTTATCGCTCGAATAAACACAATTCCACCGCTTTATCGTCGATTTTTCTACCTGTTGGAATATTGACGCGATGTTGGCTCGATTTTACTCGTTATCTGACTTGCAACTCCTTACCAACGCCAAGGTTCTTTTTCTTTTCTGGCCAGTAGCAGCCAGTTTCTGTATCGTAGCCTGTTCATAGACAAATTATCCACGGAGGCGTTCAATTCTGTCCGATAAATCAATTTCATGTTTCTTCGATATAAGCTCGTTCGATGCTTGGCTATTTCCTCGATCTTATCGATAAATAGATACAAAATACGATATAGAATTTTTATTGCGCGCGGTAACGGTCGTTACCGCGCGTCAAACAACGTTGAACGTAGCTCGGCAGGTTTATCGACGTCGCTAACCTTAACGTTAGCGAATCGATTGCGCACCACGGGCGAACAATTAGTTGGAAAACAAACGATTCTTTCTAGAGTCGGCGCGAGCGCGACGTTGCGTCGAACGTCCCGTTTAAAATGCAGACAGCCTAGCTTCGAGCACTCGTACGGATATCGTTTTCAGCTCGATCCTAAAATTTTACCCGAGTCGTACCTCTCTCGATCAGCGATTCCTTCGAAACGCTAGCTGGACACGTACAATGTATTACGAGAGAAAATTGCGCGTTGTTTCTTGAAGGAAAGAATCGACACGAGTACTCTACCAACTCGCCTACCGAGTCGACGCGATAAGCCGATTAACGACGATATCTCGCCACGAATTTCAAGGTTGAGCAACGAATCGTACGAAATCGGTAACAAAGGGACGCCGTACTCTATTGCGCGTAAAAATTATCTGCGTACGTAACGAACCAAGCTATTTCTTATCGATTTATCGAATTCGATATACGGGATTAACCCTTTCCGTACATGAAAATAGAACGTATCGCGGAACGTATAGCGGTTCTCTGTGATTACGTGGTAATATAATACGCAAGTATTAACGCGTTAGGAAGCGATAGAGCCTCGTCGACCTTGTTACGTACCGTGTCGAAACTCTATCGAGATTCATTTAGAGTATATTAACTCGCACGACGTCGTTTGATTTAAAAAACAATTTCGTATCGTCGCGTGTAAAAGAAACGTTAAAAATGGTGGTGTTGTTGAGAAAAGCAACGCGGCCCTCGATGAGAACCTCGAGGCACGCGGGAGAATCGATTACCAACCCGTAAGAATATAATAAAATTTCTAACGAAAGGTATCACGAATATAAACTCGCATCGAATAAATTCAAAATGGCTGATTCAACATGGCGGAAATGAAAAAGGGAAGTATCACAATGATTCGCGAAACTTGTAAGCTCGACAGAAAATCATGCTACGATAAGACTGACATTTATTTTTGCAATAGCTTTGTTTTTCAAGTATCGGAATGGATCGATAATTTCATACGCACCTGCTTATCTATCGATGTGAAAATCGACACGATTAAACCGAGTTTCTAGCGAGCAGGAAACAATCGTAATAAACGTTCCAGTATGCACGAAATTAACGCGTTCGTTTCGAAATATTGTAAAAGTTTTCGCGCCTTGCGAATGCTATTGAACTAGAATCGGAACACCGAGTTCAAGTACTGATAGTTATCGATAATGAAAAAATCGTTTAATAGAATTGGACTCGTAGAGTGTAAATTTTATAGAGGTTTAAACGTCCAAGTATTGGGTTTTTTAGCTCGCGAAACGTCGCGACGGTGCGGAACGATGGACGTAGGCCTTAACGTCAACGTCGACGTCGCGTCGATTCGATCTTTCGTGGAAGTATACGTACGTAGGGACGTACTAGGATAATGGAAGGTAGCCGTGTAGTCCGCGGATCGAAACGAGCTCGCGCGGGCAAATAGATCGGCGAAAAGCGTGCAACGAAGCGAAAAAACGCTCGAGCTCCAAGTCCGATAACTCGTCGGTCGTCGTTCACCTTGGAAGCGAATCGGGACACGTGCGGTGCAGTAGGCCAGTTCGCTTCACTCTGCTCTGGCTGGCCAGTCGGAGCAAACCGATCGACCACCGGCGCAAATTACTCGACTCGTCTGCTCGATCATGCCTTTCCCGTTACTCTTAATTTCTAGGACCGTTCTCGGGAAAAGGGAATGTAATAATAATCCGTTGGAAAGTTTCGCGGCTAGGCCTCGCCGGGTTTTATATTTTATGTATGTACGTACGTACGTCGAACGCTATTGGACACGCGTAGTTCGATCGCGGCGGCTAAAGTAGTTTGCGGCGACAATCTCGTTCGACGACAACATCGATTCGAAAAAATACGACGCGCGAAGATAAAGATTTTTATTGGCGTTACCTTGACGCACCGGGCGTCGTTACACATCGTCGTCGAGGTATGTATTTCGTTACGAAACGGGCCTCCGTGCACGCGCGGCTCTGACGAAATATGTACATAGAACACAGACAACGTTTGCCACGCGGCACGAGCGCCGAGCATCGACCACCAGCTCGTTTACCATTGCAACCGTTTTTTGCGAATCCACGACATGGTTACAGCTATCGCTATTCGCGATTCTCCCCGGCGCTTTCGCCGCGAAACTCCAATTGTTCGAGCCGTGCAACGATCGACAAAGTCCACCCGTATCGTTGCTATTTAATACAGGCGCTAGGTATATCGAAATGTAGGCGGTGGCGAGCGGCATCTGGTATTCGAAAGCCAGCGATACGCTAGGAAAGCACGCGAGAAAATTGATAAAAGACGATTAACTGGTAACGGGCCAGCCGATTGCGGCGTACCAGATACGAACCGTTCTAAAAGTAGGCGTTAAAAATAAAGACACGGTAATTGTCGCTGTCGCGAATTGAAAGCTCCAGAGAAGCGGAAGATAACTGTCTCGATGGAAAACACTATACAACTGGTTATTTTAGCTCGCACTTGAAACGGGCAACCGTTATCTGAACACAGCGTCAAGTTACACGCATTAATCGAACAGTAAGACGCCGTACGAGTTCATTCGATCGAAATAATACTCGTTGATGCGCTAATTTTTCGCTCCTGTTCATTTTATTTTCAACAAATTTTATCCGTTCGGATCCAATTATTATCGTGAACGGAGTAACACCCACTGATTAGCAAATCAGTTCTAGATAGTTGTCGTTAAAGACGTTTGCACGTACTTGAACGAGCTCGAGAGAAATATTCAACAACGATAGCGCATCGAGTATTAACCGTGATGCGTATTCCTATTTTAGGACCACAGCGTTTGAAAGATCGGTTTCAAGGCAACGAATTTTAAACAAAAGTAAATTGCATCGGTCTAGGTGACAAAAGCAGACGCGACCATTACGTCGTTCCTATTATCTTCGCCTTGAGAAGGAACCAATTCCCGTAAATAAGTAAATAAATAATGATCGTGCGATTGTTTGTAGCAGAACGGGAGCAGCGAGGCACGCGCGCGGTTCTAAGCGTTAATTGCGTAGCGGTGTCTGGTCGATCGGCGTAAATTCGGCCTTGAAACAGACACTAAACGAAGAAAATAGCATATCTCTGCATGGATCGTGGTTGCGTCACGAATTAGGTCCGCGTTGTCGATTCTTGCGCGCGAATCCAGAAACAAGGAGCAACGGGAAAAGTTTTTCAAGAAATTCCTACTCGAATCGGGGTCTGTGCCGCGCCACGTCGCGCCGCGCCGCGCCGGTGCGAGGTTTATAGGTCAGTCCAGTTTCGCGCGATATAGATTTTTCGGGCAGAGCTGGCAGTTACGCGCGCGTTATCCATCCAAGATTCTCGAAATCTTGCTTCGCCTCTGGTCCCCGCTGTCGCAGAATCCTACGTTGTTCCTGGCTCGTACGGGGCGAGTCGATCGATCCGCTCGGTTATCACGAGGTTTCCTTGCTATTCGTCGATCGAATCTCCCAACCGTCTCTCAACCCGACAAAGAAAAAGGGTAGTATTCGAGGGAAAGTCGAAGGACGCCGTAGCGAGCGATCGAAAGCATAGCCTTACCGT